ATTCTGGTGTTGCCTTCTCTGATTCATGATGGCTTCTTCCTCTTAAATAATACTCCTGATTTGCTTCAGAGAGCCTTGTGACAATCCGTACACCTAGTTCAGATAAGCTGAAGGAGCTGTAGCCCTCCAACACCATCATAGCTATATCTGTCTAGGCTATTAATGGGAGTCATATAATTAAATGTTTCTCTGTGTGCATGTGTTTATGGATGTCTATGCACTAATTAACCTTCCCCATCCTCCTTTTAGCCCTGCCATGATTTGTTGACCATTTTCATGAAGGGAGGGGCAGCTGTAGAAGGCAACAAAGTTGGGAGTGGTGGGGGGTGGGTGGTGTGGGTGGTGGTGTAGGGGGCTTCTGGGATTTGGGATCTTTGGGGAAAGAAACAAAAAGGGGACCTCCAGTTATTCTTTTTGGGCAGCTTTAACACAGCCCTTACCAATAAGCAGCCCTCGAAGGCACAAGAAACCTGGACAGAGAGGAAAATGAATAAGTATTATCATTTCTTCCTCCTTTCTTTTACAATAGTTTTCTGTGCTTTGAAACTCTCCTAGTAAGACCACCAATTTTTTCTCCAATATATTATTTTTTTTAATAAAGATCAAGCCACTAGGGGGAGGAGACTGGCCACTTTCTCTGTGGGTACAGCAATCTGGGTGCAAGACATTTTTGGTACTGTCCTTGATGAAAAGATGCCTGAGGCACTACAAATCGTCTCAAAATCACACCTCCCTTGGCAAGTAAAGTGAATCTGGAGGAGAAGCACTCTCCTTGACACAGCTACAGTCCAAGGTGCTAGTCACACTTGCAGCCTAGCCATTGGCTTTTAGCTCTAATTGCTTTACCTGTTCCTCTCTCAGGGGTTGGCTGTGGCTCCATCTGCCTCCAGAACATGTATGCGATGGTCATGACCTCACCTACATTTACTAGATCCACCTGCTGACTCTGCCTCCCAGTGTGCCACTAACAGTGCTGAGGTCCCTCGCCTACCAGACATAGATTCTGTTCTCTTCTTCTGTCATGATCTAGCCCAGAAACAGTGTGTGGGCATTGGCAAAGGTGATGGAGCCCTCAGCTGTCATGGGACATCTAAAAATGTACAGTAGAATGGCTTGCTGGCACTGGTGACTGCTGGCCAGTCAGGGATGATGAAAGGGATCTTGGAAGGGAGATTTCTTCCTGTGGGTGCTATTACTTTCTGTCCTACGAGAGGACAGAGGTTGGTCTCTCCTGTCAGCTGCTTGCTTCTGGGCTACAAGGACCCTCCAACCTACCATATGCACTCCTGAAGCTCTCAAGGTACAACTCTCAGGTGCCACTGGCAGTATTGGGGGGTGGGGGGTGGGGGTTGTAACATGAGTTAATGGAGAGCTCCTTAGATCAAATGATGACAGCTTAGATCATTATGGTGAATGGCCCTGTCTCCTGTTTCTAAGCTGAACATAGAAGGCCTATCCACTGCTTTCTTCCTTTGTAAGTCATCTTGTGTCTTTTCTAAACCAGGGCTGAGTTTGGTTTACTGCCAGTTATTCTTTCTCCACCTGAGTATTTCTCTGAAACTAGAAAGTCTGTTTTCTCTTTCTTTTCTAATAATGCCCATGCAATCTATGGCAATCTAAAGCCTTTGGTCAGCTAGACTTAACATGAGCCCCTGATTATATCACAACCACATGCGGTTTGCACAAAAGTTATCATCATACTAAACCTGCAACATTAATTTAGGAATGCAGTGATCTTGCATTTATGTATGCATGCAGTTGAAATTCAGTGCTCGGAAACCGAGCTGCGATCTTTATGAAGTAGGAAATCCTGACACATCCTGGACAGTCCAGGTTGCAAGATACTTTCCTACAGAGATGACTCTGGCTCCATCTAGTGATCCTGTCTATAATTATTATTTTCACAAAAAAGTTATAATCCTTGGCCAGCATTAACCAGTGGATCTTGTAAACCAAATGCAAATGAAGCTTCTGGGTTGGGATACCACATTGTATTTGTCTAGACACTACAAGCATTGCCTGTCTCTGCACAGATCTCAAGTAAAATGTAGCACAATGACCTGAGTATGGACAGGAGGAAGCTGTACAGCCCAATGATTTTGAAAAAATCCCCAAGTTTATATCTGCCTTTCTCACTTCTCACCTCCTGCCTTAAGTTTAAAATGACTGGAAATGTCAGGTTCTTTTTCCCTAACGTATGATTCAGTCAGAGGACTAAAGGCTGGTGGATTATTACAGGAATCCAAGATACCTGGCTCTGCCAAGATGCCGACCACTGGAGAAGGGAGCTTGACCCTTGTGATCCCTCAGATTTATACTGAATATGACATCCATGGGATGGAATATCTCATTGGTCAGTTTAGGGTCACCTGTCCTGTCTGCTCCTCCCTGCAGGTGTAGCCTTTTACTTTCTGCTCCCCTCAATGTGTCACACAAGATTTAGCAGTGACCTTGGTCCTCACAGGGGCAAGAGCCTTTCTGCACACCAATCCTTGGTAGTTACTGTAAACATCAGACATCATCTGTGCCAGAAGCAGACACTGCCTGAGAAAGTACGTTGCTAGCTTCAGAAAGTGCAGTTAGTTAGAAGAGACTTAACTGAGAAGTAAAATCACTGAACAGAATTAGTTCTGTTCTAACTCAAACCAGGACATGGTGGATACTGAATTTCCACAAGAATTATCTTCTATTTATTACAAGCTAAAAAAGGCTTGCAATTATTTTGTAATAATGAGACTGTAAACAGCCTCACAACTAGCAGGGGAGGCCAGCAGTGTGCTGTCGGACTGCAGGTAGCTCTGCTGCAGTTTTGGTTAGGGGAACCTGTACAGTGCTGCTTAGTGCAGCTATGCCCCTTGGCCTAACTGAGCAAAGAACCACTGCTCTGCCTGCTGCGTTCCCTCAACAAAGTTCTGAGATGTTGTAAGGACAAAAGCACCAGAAGCTGGTAGGTGTTCTCTCCCTGGCGGTGCTCACCTCCTGCCAGCCAGGATGGCCCTTTGTCACATCTACTTTGCCCTTCACAGACAGCCTGTTTCACTCCCTCCCCTCAAAGGGTAACAGGACCAAAGGCTGGTGATCCTCTTGGTGATAGCTCCACTGGAGGCTGTGAAGGGAAGAGGTAAGGGCGATGCTAATGCCATGGAGGACAGCAGTCTCCTGAACCCCATAAATACCTGAAGGGAGGGTGAAGAGAAGACAAGAGACACACTCTTTTCAGTGGTGCCTGCTGATGGGAAAAGAGGCAACGGGCACAAACCAGAACACATGAGATTCCCTCAGAACACCAGGAAACACTTTTTTTTTCTGTGAGAGTGACCAAGCACTGGCACAGGTTGCCCAGGGGGGTTGCGGAGTCTCCATCTTTGGAGATATTCAGAAGTTGTATGGACATGGTCCTGTGCAACCAGGTCTAAGTGGCCCTGCTTGAGCATGACTGTTAAACCAGATCACCTCCACAGGTGTCTTCCAATCTCAACCATTTTGTGATTCTGTGATTCTTTGATGGAGCAGAAGCTTCAGCAGGTTGTGCAGGAGGAAGGATTTATCATAGCCTCAACAGCATAGGTGCAGGAACTTGTTGTGGAGTGCAAGTATATGCCCCGCTAGACAGAATCTCTGGTTATCTTCCTTGCTCTTCATACATGATTTAAATGTCTTGAACTAAAAATAATATCATTTGTCACATTTGTTTATTTCTTTTAAAATTCAAGGCATTTGAAAAATGAGAAGGCTTTTCTGCTGTCCACTCTGAGCCTCTTTTCACAGGATAACACCAGAAGTGGCTGGTGCATGGCAGTAGTTAGCATGAAAGGTCAAGAACTGCTACAGTACCACTGGAATATGCTTGGAATAATAACCAGGAAAATCCTGAAAGAAGATGCAGCAAGCCATTAAAGGCTTGTTTTTAAAAAGGGGATCTTGGAATGAACTATCTTCTCAGCCATTCATAGATTTCCTCCCAAAGACATCAAATCGGGAAATGGGGCAAACAATGCATTTTGTGTGGAAACCACAAGAACCAGAACTGAGGACAGAACCCTAGGATCATAGTTCAGGAAACCAGAAGGAAAAAATATTCTCATGGCTGGAAAACTACTTCATGGACTGAAACAGGATCTGATGGCATTATTATCTGCACATTATTCAGTCTTGCAAATTCCACACTGCTTAGCTCAGGAAAAGCACTAAAA